CAGGAGGAACTCGAGGGTGCGAGACCTGCCCTTCGGGGTCCCAAAGAGGGCTTGACCCATCTGGGCCCTGAGCTCAACCACTCTCTTGTCCGACAAACCAATAACAGGTGTACCATACATAGCAGCAGGTAGAGCTCCGACACGGGCAACTTGCGCAGCCCCTCGGAACGAACTTCGAAGTTCTCGATAATGACGAACACGAGGACGAAGCTTCCGAATCCTGGAAAGTTGGACCTTGGAGGCCCTCTTGTTCTTTTTCAAACCGAAGTCGACCCCAAGGTTCTTGGGCGAGCTACTAATAACAAACTCCCACTTACCAACCTGCTTCCGAATCTCGGCGGCGACGATGTTGTCCGACGACACAATGACTCCTTTCTCCCTCGAAACAATGAGCTGGAGCCTCTCCAACTGCGTGCGCACATACCTGGTGGCAGAGCCCACCAGGCCTCCGAGCTTGTCAGACGTGGCTGAGCCGAAGAAAGTTAAATCGTCGACAAGGTTGGAAATGGACACGCTGGGCCAATGCAGCCTAGCAGCGCCGCGCGGAACAAGGATAATTAACTTCATCAAAGATGTTGCCCAAGAGCACCCTGCTATAATTCCTTGCTCCACCCGGATAACAGCCGGGACCATGGACCCACTCTGCAAGAGGCGTGCAGAACGATACTGCCTGAGTAGCACTCGCAGTCTGACCAAAGGACAATCATGTCGGACGGCGGCCGTCGCGAGCAACAAACGCACAACTTTTTTTCATGCGCTTTGGCCAGGCCAACCAGTGCTGCTGCCGAAGGTATGCCCTGACCTGCCGTGAACTCCCCCGTGATGGCTCGCTCCCATACCGCTCTCTCACAGCTTCTCCCTTTAGACCCGTAATGGTATTCTCTCGCTTCTCTTTCCTCCCACCTGTCCGCCTCCTTCCTGGTCAACTTTCCAAAGATACGGCAAATTCCAGGGAGAAGACCAATTGGGCGGAAACCAGAGTCAGGCCGAGGAAGAAGGACGATGAGGTTGGGAGCTATGGCCGATGGTATATGTCCTATCATCTCTGCCCAGCTGAATAGAAAACCCAACGTCGTGAGGGCCTCGCCGCAGGCTAGCCCAACGTCTCTGGGATGGACCATATCTGCGCTGAGACCAGTGCGGCGCTTAAACTTCTGCGATGCCTTGCGAATCTCCCCCGCGGTCCTCACAGCTGGGAAAACCTCACGGCCATCAAGAATCTGCTTCTGGATATGATGTTCGAGTTCTCCGAAGGGGTCAGGGTATTGGGTGGCTTCCTGCGTTGGCTTCCAGATGCCTTTCCAGAGCTCGGTCTGCTCCTGCATGACCCCTCCAGGGCCAGGTGGGGCCCTGCCATTGATCAGAGACTTGTTGGGGGTCCACGCCATCGGAGTCCTGGTGTACTGCTGGGCCTGTCCAGCCCCTGCCTTGACTGATTCGGCGACCCAGCTGCGCCACTGGGCCCCTCGCAGTGAACTAAAACGCTTTTTCAAGATTTGTGGCCCAGCGTCCTGCTGCAACGAAACGTTCATGTAGCGCAGCAGCGGAGACAGAGAATAGGTCCCCCCGGACTGTCGGCTTCCAGCTCAACCAGTCGGGAGACTTGCGCAGGGCGCCTGGGCCATCCAAGATGCGGTCGATCAACCTGGTAGTCTCGACCTGGTAAATATCAAGTAACTCCGACTCGAAGGTGGCGAAGAACTCCAAGAAGGCCCGACCCAGATCTTCTGAATTGCCTCTAGCCTGGGCCCTCTGGAGATGCTGCTGATAAGCTGGGGCCTTGGGGCGCGGCCCCACAGGGATCTCCTTGGGCAAGGCCCTCGGCTCGGTGACCACCCAGTGCCTGGCCTCCAACGGGTCTCCCTTTAAAGTGAGCGTCGCTGGCCAGTGGGGCGCCGTCGCGGCCTGCTCGTTGCGCTTGCAACTGGCAACGCAAGGCCCTAAGCCCTTGGAAATCACGAAGTAGTCAATAGTGCGCCATCGACGCGCTGTTGATCGGCAGGTGGGCGTATCTGGAGCAACAATGATACCCCCAACTTTCTGAGGCCATCCGAAATCAGCAAACACATTAGGCTCCACCTGCCAATCGCCCGCCAGGATGAACGGCGCGCCGCGCGAGTGCAGAATGAGCGTGCCTTCTTCTCCTAGCGGGGAACCTTGCGGGAGGTAAGTACTGCCTGCCACGAATCCTCCAGGGATAAACGCGTTCCCCCAGGTGAGGCAACATCTCGGGGGACTCGGGAGGCCCTTATGCGGGGGGAGCTTGCCAACGACGATGTGCGAGGGGGCAGCGGCCCCAACTCCCGAGCTGAGACCCCCACCCTCAGTGACGAAAGATGGGCGGAGGCAGGCATGCCAGCCTGACTTTCTTACTTTGGCCTCCCCGTCGGTCCTGTCTTTGGATTCAAGAGTGAGCTCCTGCAGCGTCGCCAAAGACGCGTCGGTCTCCTTGTCGAATACCGAAGCAAAGACCTCCAGGAAGTAGCGTTGCATGTTTCGA